AACACTAAGCACAGTTGTTAAACCTGTATATCATTAAAAGTGAATAATAAAACTCCATGAGACAAAAACTTTTAACTTGTCTCCTTTTAAATAAGACAATATCATTGGAAATTCCAGTTTTTCCTTAGAATAATTTTATATCTACAACACTTATGTTATGAAGGCAGCACTTTGTAATGCAGTAGTTTTAACACTTTTTGGTCTCAGGGTTCCTATATATTCTCAGGATTATTCAAGACCCCCCAAAATTTTCTTTTAGTGAGTTACATCTAAAAATTTTGACTGCATTAGAAATAAAAACTGACCATTTGTATTCAATGCTAATATTGATAAGTGAGGCACTGTTCCAGTGATTATGTTGATTGTTACCTGTTTGCTTTGTATTCTCTCCTTTTGTTATTTCTTCCTTAGAATTGCAAGCTTTTACTTTTGAGTGCTTTTACAGTGGTCCATATTGAACTTTCTCTTTGGTGGTTAGAGCTCTTTTGAGCATTTCCTGTAGGGGAGTTCTAGTGGTGACAAATACCCTTAGAGTTTGCATGTCTGGGAAAGATTTTATTTCTCCTTTGTTTATGAAACCTAGTTCTGCAGGATACAAAATTCTCGGCTGACAGTTATTCTGTTTTAGAAGACTAAAAATGGGACCCCAATCCCTTCTGGCTTGTAAGGTTCCTGCTGGGAAGGCTGATGTTAGTCTCATGGGTTTTCCTTTGTGAGTCCTTGATGCTTTCATCTTGCAGCTTATAAAATTTTCTTCTTCACCTAGTCTTTGGGTAGAATGAAGACAATGTGTCTTGAAGATGTCCTATTTGCAATATATCTTCCAGGATTTCTTTGACCTTCTTGTATCTGAATGTCTAAATGTCTTGCAAGACCAGGGAAATTCTCCTCCATTATTCCCTCAAATAGATTTTCCATGATTTTTGCTTCTTCTTCTTCTCCCTCAGGAATACCTATCATTCTTATGTTCACACATTTTACAAAATCTCATATTTTCAGAGACTTTCTTGATTTCTCTTGATTCTTTTTTCTTATTTTTAACTACCTATGTTAATTCAAAATCCTTGCCTTTAATCTCTTAAATTCTTTCTTCTACTTGGTCTAGGCTGTTATTGAAACTTTCCATTGTATTTTGAAATTCTCTAAATGACACTTATATTTCCAGAAGGCCTGTTATGTTTTGTTTTATGCTATCTGTTTATTTCTTTAGTGAATTCTTTCATTCATGTCTTGAAGTATATGTTTGTGTGTGAGAGAGAGAAATAGAGAGAGAGAGAGAGAGAGATGGTTTGTGACTTTCTCATGAATCCCATAGAGCTTACTTGTGGGCCATATTTTGGATTCTATATCTGAAATTTCAGAATTTTCCTTTGGTTTAAGCCTATTTCTGGAGAGCTAGCATAATCCTCTGAGGGTGTTGAAGGAGGATGTGTTTCCATATTGCTAATACTCTTATGCTGGTTTCTTCTCATCCAAAATCTCTTCTCTTGATTAAAAATTGATATCATTGAGATCTACCTGTTCTCTTCTGCTGGGAGATATGTTGTTCAGTGTAGATAAGGAAAGGTTCACTGCATTTTAGCTCATGCAGGCATGTACCCACTGCCCTGTTGCTGATAATTTGGGTCAGTTGGAACTTAGACCTCTGGGAGGGTGTTCAGGTTTTAGTGGTGGTGGACTGGGTCAGGTAATCCCTAGTTTCCAGGCCTCTGGATGGCCTGCTTGTGTCCTATTCTGGAAGAATGCTCAGGTGGGAGAGGGGCAAATGCACTGTGGGCCAATAATGTTGCCATCCTGTTGCTCTCCTTTCCCCTGTGGTTGTCACAACAATGCAGGTGCTGGGTGTTGTTTGTGTGAAGGAGTGGACTACTCCCAGGCTGTTTCTGAAAGCTTGGGTGGGCACAGATTAGGTCCCTCTCTGCGATGGCAGCAAAGATAGGCAGCTATTGAATCCTAGATCTTCTACTTATTAGCTATGTGATCTCTGGCAAGCAAACTGGCCTTAGGTTTTCATCTGTAAAATGGAGAGAGTAAATGGCAGTGTGTTTTATAATATGAGGTTACAGGCAGAATTACGTGGGTTAATAAAAATCTAACTTTAAAGAATGCTTGGCATATAAGTACTCAGTACACATGTGTTATATGCTGGCTTTAGATTAAAATAAATAAGGAGGGGAGGCATTTAAATCAGATGAAATTGCATGAAATATCACACAAGGAAGTAAGAAATGAAGTGATGTGTAAGACAGTGAATGATACTACTTTTGAGACACAGAAGGTATCTGCAGATCAGTGGTGGGAGATAAGGCAAGAAGAGACAACTTAAGGACTTTATTATACAGTAAATAGGGAGCCTTTGGAAGTTTTTGATCAGAGTGCTAGCATCTTCAAAATTGTTTTTTGTTTGTTTTGCTTTTGTTTTGTTTTGTCTGTCAGTATTGCCAGATAAAAGAATGATATAAAGCATTTAAAGATTGTTATGAAAAAAAATAAAGATTGTTATGAGCACTTTAGAGGCATTATCTCCTCTGATATCACAAATCCATTAGTAGATATTATTGCAATGCTTACTGCATTAATGGGGAAATTATCAATTGGGGATAAAGGAGTACATAATAGCAGAACAAGACAATATTAATTCTTAATTCATAAAACTTCTGTGAGAATTCAACATATGAAAATATTTGACACTGTATGAAATACAGTAGGAGTCTAATAAGAGAAATATGTAAGTTTAAAATATTACTATTATTATCAATCCCAAGAGGAGGGTATGTCCTCTTTTCTTCTTTTTTAGTTTTATCTAATGTAGCACAATGTAAGAAAGCATTCATGTGCTTTGCAGATAAAATTTTTGAGTGGCTTTAATTTCAGTTTATATGGGTTTTACATATGTGTAAAATTAGGCTAAAGTAAAAGTAAAAAACATTACTTTCCCTTTGGGCCTTAAGAGGGTCACTTTCATGTTCAGCATGTCTATAAATAAAGGTCTAATTGTCAAAAGCTAGGACATTAAGGGAAATAAATGGAATAACAGCTAGAACGCACTTTATGCCTCAAAAATCCATTGTCTTGGAAGTGGAATTATTTGAGTCCTTTTGAACTGAAAGTGCTAATGGTTATAATGGAGGGGGAGGGATGAGGAAGGAAGGGGATGAGGAGGGGACAGATAGGGATCTTTGCAGGATGGGGTGCTTAGTGCTGAGGAGAGAAGAGGGCTAACTCACAGATGATGCACACAGTAGAATACGTCTGTGGGTTTATTAATAGAGATGAGTGGGTGTCCAGGATTTAGGAGAAAGAGCCCTTCTTTTCTAAATGAAGATAATGGGATAATCTTCCTTAGCAGACACAGTGACACTATTAGAGCACAGAAGCAGATCACTGAAGGAAAGAGAGCATAGCTGTGGAGCCCTTGGAGCTATTTCCTTTAATTTTCCTACTTCTATACCACTTTGACAATCATTGACCACCTCCACTGAAAGCATGAAGAAAGGAAATGTGGAAGTGATTTTTGAATCATCAAATATAGGTTTTTGTTTGTTAGAAGCTCTAGTGAACTTCTTCTTTCTTTTAATTTTTAATTTTTTCATATTATGGGGGTATAAATATTGTTAGGGTTACATATATTGCCCCTGCCATTCCTTCCCACACCCTCCCCCCCCACCAAAACATCAAGCATGTCCTACTCTCAGGTGGTGCACATCACACCTATTTTGTAAGTGTAAATTCTTCCCCTCCTCCCCCCTCCCATTAGCCTACCACTTGATAAAAGTTTGTTTGTTTGTTTTTTCCCTTTTTTTGACCTTTGGGTTACATTGTATATCTTAGCCTTTCCCTTGGAAGGTTTAGATGTATTCCCCCTGCCCCCCCAACTATGCTCACCACAACCCTAAGATGTGTATCTCCCCTTCCTCCAAACCCTAGTGGGCACTATCCCCATTGAGCATCATAGTTTTAATCAGTCAGTACCAATTTGATGGCGAGTAAATGTGGAGCTCGTTTTCTTGATCTTATGTCACCTCACTTTGGATAACGGGTTTAAGCTTAATGCAGGATAGCATAAATGGTGCTAATTCACTGTCATTTCTTATAATTGAATAGTATTCCATTGTGAGCATATACCAAATTTTAGTTATCCACTTGTGAATTGATGGACACTTGGGTTGTTTCCATGATCTTGCAATAGTGAATTGTGCTGCCATAAACATTGGGTAATGAAAAAATAAGTGTTGCAATACTTGGCCAAATTGAATTTGGAAGTTGTCAATGGACTTTGACAATTTACAATATTTTTCTATTATTATTGGACTGAATTAAGAGTTACTTCATCTGTTTATAAATTGTACCTGAATGCCAGATAAAGGCTAATGTATTTTCTGATTATTTTGTTATGTGAATTATTAGTCTTTACACATTTTTATTAACATACATAAAAATTGTTTAATAAATAAAAATAAATTGATCAGAACATTACATATTAGTTGCAAACTTCAAGGGATAAGTTGATACTTGATAAATTCTTGAGAAAATGTATACCTGCAAATGGGACTCACAGTGATGATCATTATATATTTATGATTTAAGTTAAATTTTAGAGTTTTACTACAAAAGCAAAAAGTAATTCCTGTGTCACAAGGATATGAATTGTATTATTAATATTCCCAGGCATTTTTTTAAATTTCCACCCTAGAATGTTAAATGCCTAACATTTAACTCTGTAGCTAAAGTTGTAATTGTCTACAGGGAAGTTGAAACCCATTCCTTTTTTTTTTTTCACATTAAATCAAACATTAAAGCAAGTAATGTTTAAAAACAAATATGTTAAAACCATCTCTCAGTTAATTCTTTAAACAAATAAAAGCATTGAATCCCCGCCTATATTACAAATAATGAAGTTATTCAATTTCTTTGCCAACAAAGAAAGGACTTTAAAGGAGCCTGCATTATAAATTATGGCAATTACAAATCTTTAATGGTTGACTTCTTTTTCATTGCAGGAAAACTCTCTCTGTTTCCAAAATTCTGTTAAAGCAGATAATAGTTATTTCACTGCACATGGATTTCAAGGAATGTGGATATGGGCAAACAAGTAAGTTGAAATTTTGTGAGAAGAAATGGGAATTGTTATTAACTGAGAGAGTAAATATGCATGAGAACTTTGAGATTTTGCTAGTTGTCAAAAACTGCAGACTGTCAAACAACAATCATTCTTATTTTATATGATTATTAACAATTAAAATATTTTGACAGAAGTGTATTAACAATCTTTATCTTGTGCACTTAAAACAACTATTTGGTAATCAAATATAAGTACAGGTTTAACATAGTTTTAGGTTGTAGATTCAATATGTAGTCTAATTATTAAAGGAGTATAAATCTTATGCCAATATTTCAAGTCTATTGGTTTCTACAAAATTTATGTGAATTATGTGTAAGCTTTCTGTACTATTTCTTCATGTAGAGGGTTTTTCAAAAATTTCACTTTTTCTTGTGAATTTGTTTCCATTGATTATTTAAAAGAAGTTCTACTCTTTTAATAAAGTGATAAGACTTTAGTCACTTTAGAAATTTCTTCATGGTTCATAGCAAGGATACCTAAAAGTAACTGTATCTTCTAGAAAAAAAATACAAACAACTAACCCAATATATGTCTACAGTGTCAATGTGTAATTTCAAAATTTATTTTCAAGTTCACGGCATGATCTCACATTACTGTAATTTGTCTACTTTGATTATGCACAAATTTCTTATATAGCAGTATTTTTATTCTGTTTATAATAAAACATTTTCATCTGTCATACATACACTGCTTAAATATTGAATCAATATTTAAAAATTGAACCAAATTAGTCTTGCTACAATTTTAACAAATGTAATTTCTGGAAAAGAAAAGAGTTTATTTTATTTTAAGAAAAAATCCATTAGAACTGGAAATAATACTACAAGCTTATAAAACTAAATTACAAAATTTAGTTATAAATAATTTTTGGATTACTTTATAATTTCTGCATATATATGAGTAGTTATCTTGATTTTAGGAACTATAGTTCATATTTCCTTTTGTCCCTACATTGCCCAGAAAAGATACTTAAGAATGACTGGCTTGCTTGACTGGACGTTTGGTTCAATATTTTAATTAAAGATAATTTTAGGACTTAACTATTTTTAAATATTAATTTTTGAAGAGGATAACTTAACGGTCTTTGGATTCAAACATATCTGTCTATAAATCCAAGTTTAAACATATTAATGTAATGCTATTTCTGTTAATAATGTAGTACTTATATCCTAACTCTATGTTATCACAATTAATAGAATAATGCTTTTGAGATGGTTCAAGCAGTATTATGTGATCAAAAATTGTTAGTTATTACTATTACTTAACTTCTTTATCTTTTTTTGTTGGCATATTTAAAAAATAGCCCTTCAATTACAAGGTTATTTTGAAGATTAAAATGTGTGCAAGCCACTTAGGGATTTTAATATACAGTAGGAATTTCATAAATAGTTAGATGGTAATAGAAGAATCTTATTACAGAGTAAGCATTGTCATTTATGATTAACATGATTTTTTGAATTATTGTATTCTTAATCCTGTACACTAAACTGATAGAAAACTATCAAGAAGCATTTCATTTGTTCTTTACATTATTTTAGTAGAATTAATACCTCTCTTATATTTATCTCCAGTTTACATCTATCTTCCAGAGATTAGAAGAGAATAGAAATAAGAGCTGCAATCATCATGAATTTGCTAGAGATACCCATTTTATTACACATAAAAGCAGTAAATATGCAGTATCAACAGATTTTAATAATCAAAAATACTTACTTTTTAACTTAGATAATAAACAGATGAGAACAAAACCTATTCATAATTTTCAATCAACTGAGAAACATGTGAAAAAAGAAGGTCACACTGAGAATGTAATGACGGATTTATCAAATGTTTATGCTTCAGGTATGAATGTCATTAACAAGTGTAACTCCTTATTCTTTTTAATAAATGCCTTGTGATCTACGTGTTTATTGTAGCAATTACAATTTTCTTGAAGATATGATCCTTTAACTTACTTTCAGAAGTAAAATGAACGAATTGTTTTGTGGCAATACTATCAAATAAAGCTCATCTCTAGGAGATCTTGAAGGGGCACCTGCTCCAATTGACATTAATCTAAAATGGTTGATTTGGGTTGAAAATTGTTATACAATGGAATATTGAATGAAGATTATTAATAGAATTTGGGAAAATGCTACTTTACTTGCTGTTTGACGTGGCCCTTTAATATCTTTAGTTTCTAATGATGAAAACTCTATCCCTTTGAGATTTTCTTTGGCACTCTACTGACCTTGCTGTTAATCTCTTTTCTCTCTAGATTTGTTGCCATCCAAGGAGGGCAACGATTTAACAAGATATTTTCTGCTACAAATAGTAGATATTCTTTTGCATTACATCAAAAAAATCTTTGATGTTAAGAGTAAAATATTGGATTTTCATCATCCTCATCAATTCCTTGAAGGTTTGGATGGGTTTAACTTAGAACTGTCTGACGTCCCTGAATCTCTGGAACAATTACTTGTTGATTGCACAGATACCTTAAAATATGGTGTTAAAACAGGTGATTTTTTTTTCAAATTGATGGTCCTAAATTATAGACTGAATAGCTTTGAGTTTACATTTGTGTTGAAAAATGATCACAATTTTATTCATTCTTATTTAAAACACCTGCTTAGTTTATTTTCAAGTTGATATTGTCATATATAAATTGCCTATTAAGACAAGAAAGTAAATAAAATCATTTTTGTTTGGAGAATTACATTCAAATGGAAACTAAATGTATAATTTTTATTTATCATTCTTTTCATTTATCGATTTCTTTTTTATCATATTCAGAATCGATGCTCAATTGATTATCTTTCTAAACCAATAAAATATATAGCATCAAAATTATCAGATAGATAAATACATATATCCTATATTTCTTAAATTGTTTTCTGATTAAATTAACATTACTATAACTTTATTCTTAACCATTTAAAGTGATACTTTAAGGAGTCAGCAATATTTATATAGGCTCTATGGACTCCTTTTCATAATATCTTATACTATTAATAAATAGTGTATTGGAACAAACATTGTCATTGAAAAGAGACAAAATTTGGGCCCAAATACATTATTTTTTCCTGGGTTTATTCATTTCTTATTATGTGATCAGGGAAAATGTTTATGTATAGCGTTAATATTTATAAATTATTTGTATATAATACCTTATATTTGGTAGAATTCAAATAAATGGGAATTGTTGTAATAACATATTTTTACATACCAGTACTACAAACACCACAAATATTTTATCTTCAGATCAAACTGATTTTCCACATTAATGCACCAAGATGATTTACATTTGAAAATGCTTATTGCTGTATTAATTTTAATAACAAAAAATAAAGAATCATTGTTTTTATATTTATCTTAAATAAACTATGAATATCCTTTGAAGCAAATACTATGCAATGTTACAATTTAAAGTTCTAGGGAAGTCCTGGGGAATTTTTCATAGGATATTGATCCTTGTACAAAGATATATCACAAAATAATATGCTCAATGTTATTTCAATTTTATTTAATTATATTTTAATTTTATAAATCTCTCTATATATGGCATACATATATACAGGTGTCTATAACTACCTATTTATAATGAAAACTTTTGTAAGATAGTTTTGTATCACTTTAAAATATCTTTGTAAATATCATTTGTAGAATGTATTTATTATAAATAGGTAGTTGGATAGATAAGTAGGATTCTATATATGCATAGAAAATCACCGTTTTGTATGTACTGTTTTGTATTCTATGCATTCCTATAATGTGTAATATATTTATAATTAAAAATATTATTAAATAAAAATATAAAAGTCTTGTAAGAGTCAAAAATATTTGGGGGCTCAAATTCAGTTATATAAAGTAAATGTGAAATTAAAACAAATTTTGATTAGAAATAAAAATAGCAAAAGGTAGTTCTGAAAAAATAGTGGGGCAATTGAGTGGCACTTCTGACAGGTGAAAATAAAGTTCTTTCTCTTTCCTTTGTCTGGCATTGCAAATGTAGACTGAATCTGTAAGGACCCACCTCCCACTTTTCCATCTCCATCTCCACACATCTCAAGTGCAGAGGGAAAAAACAAAGATGGTGAGAAAGTGAAAAGAAATAACAGAAAGGAACACTTTGCTATCACAGTCCACAACTTGCAGACATCAATATCATCCAGTTTAATAAGCATTTATTGAACACCTATTTGTTAAGAAACCATGTAGGTGCTTTGTGAAAGGGAGTGTTGAAATGTGTATAACATACTAGTGGGGAAAAAAGGAGAACTCACAAAGGACTATGGTGCAAGTCATCTGTAAACTATGTCATATAACAGTGAAAAGAACAATCTGAGAGCTAAGAAAGGGGAAGATTAATCTAAACTGAGTTGAATATAGATTATTCAATTTGTCAGCTAGTGCTTAAAGATTCTTGATTAATTTAAATATTCAAAAATCATTGTGAAAGGATCTAATTTTATATACAAAAGTGTATAAACAACTTTTCAGTGAAAATTATTTAATCTTTTAGGTGGCTTGCCCCCCACTTACCTGACTGGTCCATCGAGGTAGTTTTATATACCCTCATCCCCTACCTTCTCACTTTAGACATAGGACTTTTCCTATGATTTTGAGCATATTAAGCTCTTTTTCAGCTTGTTCATTCTCTAACTCTTTCTGTCTGGCAATTCTTAATTTTAGATCTTACCTTAAACATCACTTCCTCCAAGAGACCCTCTCTAGAGATTTCCTCTTCCCACTCTCCTGGCTGCCTTCAATCCCCTAGGAACAAACTTATAACACCTACTGTTTTCCTTTGTAGCACTTATGACAATTATAATTAGATACATTTGTGTCATTGTTTGTTTTATGTCTTTCTTCTACCAGTTTGTAAGATCCATGCAGTAGCAACTGAGCCCATCTGGTTTACCACTGTATCTCCAATAATTAGGACTGTGCCTGTATATGACAGTTGCTCAATAATGTTTACTGAATGACATAATTTGTTTAAGTTTGCTTGATCCATGAGTATCTGTTAACTGCTGCTATCAAATTTAACCATTTCTTAGCGCTATGTTTTTATTTTGTCCCATTAGCAATTTTTGTCTTTGTTTCTAGGACATCCTCGCTATTTTAACCAGCTGTCTAGTGGGCTAGATATAATTGGACTTGCAGGAGAATGGTTGACAGCCACTGCAAATACCAACATGTGAGTATCCCTCTGCACCTGAGAAATGTGAGAATATTAGACACATATCAGCAAGAGTAAAGATGTAGATTGTGGAAGTTACATTTTGTTGGATATGATGCTTGCTATATCAAAACCAAATAGTTGACACTCAGGGAGAAATGCAAAGGAGCTGCTACATGTTCCCCGTGTGACATGTTTGAGGTTTACCTGGTCCTCTGGACATGCTCTGTCTGGAAACTTTCAGGACCTTAATTCCCTGGTATGGGGTAAAGCTCAGTAGATTAGCCTGAGACATTACTGGAGCTAGGGCAATCTAGGCTTGGAATCATTTCAACACTACTTGAAACAGCTCACAGCACATAGTAGTCTAAAATGCACATACACACATATGAAAACCTTCCTAAATATAAATTAGAACCTCAATCTTATTGAAGATGAAAAGAATGAACTTTTAAAGAAAAGTTAAATTCAACTTCAATGTGATTCTTTTAAAACACTAACCTTTGCCATAGCAAAACTTGTGGCCATAAGAAAATTAGATATCCTGTTGCGGTGTTTTGAGGTAAAGTTAATTTTAGAGCAGTATTTTTTAAGGTTGAAAGGGATAGGGAAATGATTGGCTACTAAATTGAAAGGAATAGTTGGTGTCAGTTGTTAATGTAATTTAACTAGCAATCAAAAAGAGAGAGCTGATACAACTTTAAACTTTAAAACCAAAAACTAAACATTTATGAGAAGAGACTGCTATGTGGAAAAATGGAGGTTTATTTTAACTGTTTAGTTATCATTAAGATTTTGATGATGCATAGTTCATGGTAGTAATTAGTATTTTATAGATATGAAATGCAAATAAAAATGGCCTACACAGCATATTGCTATTTTAATAGCAATGGGTGCTTGGTACCCTGGGATGTATGTCCCCCATAAATGACCTCTCCTCAGAACAGTTCATCTGTAGGGAAGAAGGGGAAATAATTTGTCCTTAACCAGGTCTCTTAGGGTCAAAGGATTACACTATGGAACATTCACATCCCCATATCTAATGTTTGGGCATTCTTGGAACTCCTGGTAGATTCCCTGACTTGTCGTGGTTCAGGGTAAAAGGGAAACTTCTGGATGGGAGATCAGTGACTACTGTCATGAGGGGAGGCAAAACACTGTTAGCTCAGGACTGTGTCTAAGTGTGTGGCCACAGGGTTGGTGGCTGGGCTTGATTAATGTCCAATGGTGTAGCGACAGAACAAGCTGAGAGTATCTGAAGCAGCACAGAACTGGTGGCTGGTATCAATATCTATGTATAAGAACTCATAAAGGACAAATAAAAGGCTTTCTGGAGAAAAACCGAATCCACCTTTTGATTTCAGAATCCATTGTAAATATTTCATTGTTTATTGTACATAGTACGCACAGAGGAAAGCTTATAGCCTCTTAAATTTCAGCTTCTTTTTTTCAGAGGGGCTGACTCTAATCTCAAGGCACCACTCAGAGGAGGGTCCCCAGCATGATCCTCTCTGAATTCTATCATGGGTCCTGCATTGTTCTTGTCTTGTGCCATCTTCATGCTTCACAGTTGTCATTGAAAACATATACTTCTTAGTCCATTTTTGCTGTGTTTGCTCAAAGTACACTCTTTAAATAGAGGATGTTTATCAATTAATTTCTAGAAAAGGCTTTTTTTCTGTCTCTTTTATATTCTGCAAAATATTATATTATATTATATTACATTATATATTACAGCTCTTTGTCTCTCCAACTTGCCCATTAGATAATATGTCTGTTTCTGTCTACATGTATACACTTAGACATATATATGTATAAATAATTTAGTGAATTATATGTATATTTGCACATTTATGTGTGTGCATATATACATATTTACATATATACACATATATTTTTTTTCTTGATAACTGAGTATTTTCTTACTCTAGCAGTATTATGTGTATGATGAAGGGATGGGAATTACTTTCAAAATTCCTCTAGGTAGAAAATAAATTCTCAGTTACTGCACAAAACAATGGAAGCTATCATACTTTCTTTGTAGAACTAATATACTAAATTTGGAACAGGCGATTTAGAACATATAAAATGTAATCATTTCTTGCACGGTCTACAATAGAATTTAAAGAGTGTGTCATCTTATTTAGCACATGATTTTATTTTTCCTTTTGCATGTAATATAATTCACAGTTGAATTTCTCTCTATGTATTACAGGTTTACATATGAAATAGCCCCAGTATTTACTGTCATGGAGACAATTCTTCTCAAGAAAATGTATGGAATTGTTGGCTGGAGAGAAACAGAGGCAGATGGAATATTTTCACCTGGTAGGAAAAAATAATTTTCTATTAGCTAGATAAAATACCTATTCGAAGACATTGAAGATGTATTTCAACTAATACTGTTATTTTTGAAAGATAACCCATTGTGTTGGCTATAACTGCAAAGCTTCCAGAAATCTAAAAGTGGAAATTGTATTGATCTTTCTCTCAGCAATTTCAAGGAAGGATATTTTAAAATAATATCAGTGATTTAGCAACACTTTAGTTTCAAGAAGCTCTCAAATTGTCATGATTTTGAATAGTTGGAATTAGATTAATAATCACTATTTCTTTCCCCAGGTGGGAGTATATCAAACCTCTACGGTATATTAGTAGCTCGTTATAAGCAATATCCAGAGATAAAAACAAAAGGCATGACCGCACTTCCATGTATTGTATTATTTGTTTCTCAACAAGTAAGTATTAAATCTAGGTTTTTCCAACTTTTAAGGTCACCTGATAAAATAAAGACTCAGAATATCATGGTAACATTAAATGTATTCACATAATCTGAGTCTGGATCTGAATATTAATATTATAAAGGGAGAAAATGACTTTCCAAAAAATATACAGGCTTAGAGATAAGCAGCAGAAATAGTTCAAATTTAAGATTAAAGTTTAAATTTAACCTATGGGAAACTAACAGGAAAAAGTGTGATTATAAATATAAAGCACTATGCTCTCTTCACCAAAAAAATAAGTTGTAAAAAGTTCAAAGATTTAGTGGCTCTTTTTAACACTGAATAAAGGGAACAAAAATATGATTAATGTTTTATCTTCCCAGTTAAAAACAAAGGAATTAGTTGAAAACTGAATTGTTATGGACTAGGCCCAAGCCACATGTTTCAGATATTGACAATACATCCACTGATATCTCCTTAAGTTTTAATGTTCCTTACATTCCCATGCATAGCATTGAAACTTCTTTTTTAAAAGTTAATTAATGAGCCAGGTGTGGGGGCTCACGCCTGTCACCTCAGCACTTTGGGAGGCCAACGTGGGAGTATCTCTCTTTTTTTTTTTTAATTTTATTTCAAGAAAATATGAAAGTAGGAACATTTTGGTTACATTTTGTATCTTTGCCTCTCCCTACCTAGCAAGGGTTAGAGGTATGCCCTTCCCTCCACAATGCTCACCACATCCCTCAGATGTGGGTCTACCCCCCAACCCCCGAATTCCTGGTGAACACCACCACCATTTGAGCACCATAGTGTTAATCAGTCAGTGCCAATTTGATGGCGAGTACATGTGGAGCCCATTTTTCTGATCTTGTGTCACCTCACTTTGGATAATGGGCTTAAACTTAATCCAGGATGATATAAGCGGTGCTAGCTCGCTATCGTTTCTTAGAATTGAGTAATATTCCATAGTAAACATATAAGTTATAAATTTATAAATGACGTGGTTTCATGTGGATACAGAGAACTAGAATATTCAACCCCCTCACTCATGGCTTGTGAAGAGTTCTATTCTGTGGCAGTGCCTTCTAGAAATAGGTGTTACAGCCTTCCTGATCTCAACAAATGTCATGATGAGGAACTGAAAATATGCCTTGGGACCTGTGTGCATATGCATGCAAAGCCCACTCAAAGCTATGCATATATACCCCAAATGTACTATTGTGTTATTAGTGATTTAATGCAGGAGATTTCATGTCTTTTCTACTTTTATTTTTGCTCAAGGGTCATTATTCAGTAAAGAAAGCTGCAGCAATCCTTGGTATTGGAATTGATAATGTAATTGAAGTAAAATGTGATGAAAGGTATGTTTCTTAATATATTCCCCAAAATGTTATTGTGCTTTACAGATTAAGTTGCAACTTTCTTATTATTCCAATTTTTTGCAAGAATACCCACCCAGATTAGTTTCATTTAAATTTTAACAAGAAGTAATTATGAAAGAAGCAATAAAATTATCTATCCTAATGTTAAAATTCATTTACTAAATATATCCTTATATAAATGGTAATGCCACATATCTGTTCCTTATTTTATGTTTTTGAAAATACATTAAATTATGAATCTAATGATGTTTGGAGGTAAAAAATAAATTGGGTTAGGAAAGTACAGAGTGAAAATATATTTTCCTTGAATCCCATTCTTTAGCAATAAACACTTTATAGATATTACATATATTCTGGAAGACAATTTTATGCATATCAAATGTACTCATACATCAATTCTGTCTTGTATTCTGTAATTTGATTTTTTTTTTGGCTTTATAATATATCTTGGAAATTTTGTCCCATGAATTCATACAGATTTTCTTTGTTGTTTTGTAGATACTTCAGAGTTTTCCATTTTACAAATATAACATGATTTCACAAGTCTTATTTAAAATATACTTATGAGTTTAACCCCCAATTTTAGTAGTAAGGGCAATGCTTAAATGAATGTAATTATATAAATATGTTTGAATATCTTTGTATGAATATCTCTCATATGAATTCCTATAAGTCAATTATTGGGTCAAAGTATGTCTGCATTTACAACTAAATAAAAATTTTTTCATTTGTCCTTTAAACATTTTTTAGTTAATTGATACCCTTATCTACAATGTATAATCCAAATATTATTATTTTTTATACTTAGTAAATTTGATAGACAAAAATTATGTTTCTTTGTTGTTCAAAACAATGGAAATCTGTTAATATACTGACTTGCCAAAGTATATTTCTGTGAATTGCCCATTCATGTCTTTTGCCCATTTTTAAATTGGTGGTTCATTAATTCTTAGTGGCTTGTAAGAAATATTTATATATTTAGAAATTCTAAAATATAAAATATATGAATATAAAAAATCTAGCAAATATATTTTTATAAGGGTATTATTGAATACATTTTATTTATCTCAAGTCGTTTGGTTTTCCTTATATAGTCCCTTGCATGTTTTCTGAGAATAGCCTCCCCAAGATGTTTTATGTTGCTCCTAGTATTATGAATAGAATTTTTCTCTTCTTTATTTATAATAATTAGTGTTAAAAAATAGAAATATAATTTATCTTTGGAACCACCTAACTTGCTCAACCTTCTCATTATTTCCAAAAATAACCTTATGTATTTCGAGCATACAAACATGTACTTCAATTAGGATTTTTTCCTATTTTATCTATCATTTTTTTAAGAAAAAAATAAAATATGAAAGATAGTAAGCATCCTTATCTTAGTGCTGACTTTAATAGGAATCTTTTTAATGAATTGTCTCTAAGTATATTGGCTTTTAGTCTCATAGCTGTTTGAGTAGAAAAATATTGGCTTTAATTTTCCATGGAAATTTTCTGTGAAGAAATGTCAGTCCACTTTAATTCATGCCAATTCTATTCCCCTCAAATTTGGATACCTGAAATTTTTATTATGATATCAAGAGGTATTTATCTTATAATTAAAGTTTAATAACTTTAAATAAATAATGGAGAAAAAGAAAAGAAGAAAGGAATGAAGGAAGAGAGAAAAAGAAAGAGAGAGAAAGGTCAAAAGAAAGTTTACCTTCTGTATCTTTCCTAGAAAGATTAGTAAGTAATGTATATTTTAAGGTGGCTGAATAGTAAACTAAGCATTCTTTAATTCAAACAGTTAAAAGAATTGAACATTTACCTAATACCTATAAATAGGAAATACTAAAAACTAATTTTTTAAATAATCTTGCATGCATTTTATTATTCTAATTTATAAAGCTGATATGTATATTCACTCATAATAAATCAATATGTATTTGCATTTTAAGAGGAAAGATGATTCCAGCTGAATTAGAGAAAAATATATTACAAGCTAAAAGAAAGGTACGTCTACACTTTTATATTTAACATGCAAATGAATCTTTATTTTCTTTATTTTTATTAATGAAAACAGTTGACAATTACAGAGAAACATAAAATAACACCCAAATGTGGGAAATCCCTTATAAAATTGAAGTGGTGTAATTAGTAACATTGCAGTATTTCTAATAATATTGTTTCTATTAAATATGAAAAGTTATATGAGTATTTTCTATATGATAGAACTTGGCCATTTCTATTTTTTGGTGTTATTTTCTTAAAATAAATTTAGACAAAAGTAATAATAAATGAAACTCAGAGGCAGAGACATTAATTCGTCTTATGATTCCACTGCTTCCTCTTGTGTTTTTAGTACATTAGAATATTTGAAATTATTAGCTGATTAATGTCTTTAATCAAAGTCACCCAGCTTCCTGATGTCCTGAAATGTAAAGGTTAAGTTCCTGTGTAATTCTTGTGGACTTCATGAGAATATGAGAATGATTCAGCCTTTGTCATCACCAGGGTCAAATTCCATTTTGTGTCAGTGCCACGGCTGGGAGCACAGTGTATGGAGCCTTCGACCCTCTCCATGACATCGCTAACATTTGTGAGAAGCACAGACTCTGGATGCATGTGGATGTAAGTTACCTCCCTTAGTTTAAACTATAATTTCTTCTTTTAAAAACATGAATCCTACAAATGATCCTTAAAGATTCTTATTAGGCAATGCAGGCAAGTAAAAGAATTTCTCTATAACTTAATTTTTATAATGAATAAATGCAGAAAAAGAATAGTGTTATTTGGTAAGTTATGTTTAGGTGGATTTAATATACCATGAAAAGGGCTAAAAATATATCAAGTGATTTTTAAAAATCTAAATCTCTATCACTATTTAACCCAAAATTTAGAATATCAATGTGAAGAAATAGTTCAAAATGATTTGAAATTGAAATAATATTTGGCCCATTAAACATTTCTTTATTAATATCTATTAAGGAAATTTTAATCTATTAATAATCTAATAAACATTTCTTTATTAATATCTATTAAGGAAATTTTTAAAAAAACCTTTTATTTCTATTAATTTAGTACAGTGACTTCTACCAAAAATGTCTTTGGCTTTGATTAGAGTTGAATAAATCTAAAGTTATATAATATAATGGAAATTTCCTTTTTTCTGTAGTATTGCCAAATTGGATGCCAACTTTTAAAATCTGTCTTTGAAAATTATGCAGAAGGTATCTCCTCAAATTAATTAAGAGCCTAGGACTTTACCGTGTCATGAATAGATAATGAGAATTCATAGGAGGAAAATTTTAAAATGTATTGTTCTTATAAATGGGATAATTATAGTCAAGTTTAAAATCATCTAGCATAACAATTAACTCTTCATCAACTTTTGAAATAGCTTTAACATAGAAAAAATACTTGGTGTGACTTAGGAAGAAATAATTTACATAAGAGCACATGTCCTTTGTTTTGGTTGTAGGCAGCTTGGGGAGGTGGACTGCTGCTATCCAGAAACTATTCCTATAAACTCAGTGGCATTGAAAGGTAAGACCTGGGGCATTCTTTGTGAAGGCAAAAGGATCTGTTTTGGCTTCTTTTCTCTGGCATTGGACTGTGATCACTGACTGGAGCTGTTTTATCATCTAGGGCCAACTCTGTGACCTGGAATCCTCACAAACTAATGGGTGTCCCTCTTCAATGCTCTGCTATCTTGATCCGGGAAAAAGTAAATTATTTCTATTTTTAAGAAGTGACATAAAGGATATCTTAGTAATGACTAGCTTCATTGTGAATGGTTAAAGAATGTTTAAAACAAACAAAAAAAAATGATGGCCTCACGGAATTAAAAATAGTGTAGCACACTTTGCCCTGTTGAGGAAAACCAATCCTGCCCACTTTATCTTTAAGTAGTAGTCACTGGGTAATTGAGGTGTCACAAAATCAAATGACTACAGTGAACAGGTAGTACCCAATGTGTAGATAAGATCTGGTATGAAGCAATAGACCATAATAGGGTCTATAGAAAACCTGATCATTCATAACCCAGTTATTAACAATACAGTGGCCACAGGTAGATGAAAAAAATGTTCAACATTGCTAATCATCAGGGAAATGAAAGTTATAACTATAATAAGATATCACTTCACAACTATTATCTTATAGAATGGCTATTATCAAAAAGACAAAAGATAAGCACAGGTGACAGTGTGGAGAAAAGGCACCATGTGCACCATGTTGGTGGATGTGGGAGGTGTAGCCCATGCCTTTCTCCACTCTCATTTCATCTTGGGCTTCCTTTTGTTTTCTTCACATCCTCTGACTTCCTTGAAGGCATAGTACAACTTGCTCTCTTGTGACCTCAGTAAATGTTTCTCCTCCACTTGTCATAATCTGACTCAACTTTCACTCCTCCAACTTTCCCCCAACATCTTTCTTCTTAAACCTCTGCTGCGCTCAAAAATGTTTTTTATTCATGAGCCGTTCTTGACTTCTCCGCTAGAAGGAATCCTTGACCCTCAGACCAGAGTATTTCTTTATAATACCATGAAAACTCCTTCATAGCATTTATTATAGGTGTAATTTGACATTCACATCTGCAAAATTTTGTTTACTGCCAAGCCCTGGCCTTACTCACCAGCCTCCTATGACCCAGATTATAAATTCCATGAGGGCAGAGCTTTTCCACCTGTTCTTCACCACAAATCTACTGTCTCAGAACCTTGTGCTGTATTTTGTAGGTGCTCTAAATACATGTTTCTTAATGATTAGCTTAATCATCACATCAGAGAAAACATATTGATTGTATGGTTTTAAAATATTTTAAATAGTTTTAAATATTTTAAAACCAATTTTTAAACTATGGTTTTACAATATTTTATTAATCTCTAATAAAAAATGAAAAGGAGAGTTTGAAGTAGACCACACAGAAAAGTTTTATGTGTTTAAAGAGGTCATCCAAGATATACATGCATAAAGTCTTTTCCTTTTTAAAGATATCAATTCTATGCTCCTTCCCCCAATACTTCAATACTAACCACCACATTGTGGTCCTTCCCATAGATTCATAAATCTATCCTATAAAAAGAATATGAGTTTCTTTGAATGTTGAGTTTCCATAAACCTCAAGTCAAACTGCCTTTTGTTGGCTCCCAAATCATTGTATAGATAGATATGACCTTGAAAATTACTTAATATGTTAAAGTTTCAGTTTCTCTAATCTGTAAAAATTATATAGTTTCTATGCCACTGGTTTTCTGTGAGACTCAAATGATGTAACATTTGTGCAATGGCAAGCATATAAAAACACATAATAAATATATTGTTATTTATTTCTTACAGAAGATGTTATGCTTAATGTATCTTTAAATTACACTATCGATACAAACAAATTCAGCTTTTGTTATGCTGATGCAACACACACACTTTGGGAGAAGTCTGTCTTTATTCGGGTGATGGGAAGCATGTCTTTCTCCAGTGACTATTTCTTAACCATTTAATGTAAAGTTTCTTCAATTCTTCAACACTGCGGAGGAATGTTTTCAACATTTTTTTGGTATGAGAAGAAATGGCTAGCTAGAAAAGGACAAAACCAAATGTGAATGGGTTAAATGTACAGATTTTTTTTAATTCTCTACTAAGGCCATCAGAGCTGTTTATTTGACTGACACCTACACTGTTGACTCACAGGAGAGTTTAGTTGAAGTGGATGAGGCACTCAGTTCTCATTAACTTCATCACATTCTATTCACATAATTTCAAAAGAGCAGCAAAACTTCAAAGGCATGTAAGAAAAATTAAAGAAAAATAGACAAGTATTAATTCAATTATACCATCTGCATGTTCTATATAAAGAACAACTGAATATGCTCAAATACTTTCAGAAAAGTAACATTTTTTTTGTTTTTCTTTTTAATCTAGATACAGGTACTTTATTTACGAATATTTAGATTAATAGCATTTTGTTACATCAAATGAGTACAGCAGTCTGAATAAATCCTTCTCTCACAAAAACAGAAAAAAGTAACATTTTAATTATAAAATATATGAAATTCTATTTGCACGCAAAGCAGAAATGATAAGTTAAATAAAATAAATGTTTCTTATTAAAATGCATATGACTTACATGTTAGATATATTTTTCCTTTTTCAGGGCCTTCTGGAAGCATGCAACCAGATGCAAGCTGGATATCTTTTCCAGCCAGATAAGCTCTACAATGTCGACTTTGACACTGGGGATAAAACTATTCAGTGTGGCCGACATGTTGATGTCTTCAAGCTATGGTTAATGTGGAAAGCAAAGGTATAAATTTGCCATCTTTATTTTTACTCATTCTACTTTTTATTGGAATAAAGAGAAAAGGGGTAAAGTTTATATTAATTTACACATTTGGAAAGAAGCACCAAAATTTTAAAGTCTTAAGGTTATGATGAGCTGATTTTAAAAAGAGAAAATTTAACTGATGAATGTAATGACTTTCATTATTTATTTGAGATTTTGACATTTTAGATCATGAGGTAGTAGAGAACATATGAACCGTAAGGGTCTTCCTAAGGTAAGAATCTCTAAATTTTGTCAGAAGCCAGACAGATATATAAGTGTGTAAAATGAATGGGCTGTAAGAAAAGAGGAAATAATAAAACTGGAGACTACAGGAGCAGCCTGACTAGTTCACATTTAAATTGGTGTGAAACAATGCACCAGCTGTTTTGATGAAAGTCAACAATTCATTCACAATAATTTGTTGAGCACTATTTATTCAGGCAGCAGTCTTGGTTTTAAGAATGTAGTGAGCAAAAAAATCCAAATTTTCTTCCCTTGTGCAAGTTACCTTTGGGAGGGTTCTGGAGGGTTTGATGTTATAGACAGTAATTAATGATGTTATAGACAGTAATTAATCAAGTTTCTTTTTATTAATGTTGAATTATTATTATGCAGTAAAGTGAAGATGTTGAATAGTGAATTATGGTTCAGTTTGGAAGCTCGGGAAGATAATATAAATTTAGGAATCATCTACATGCACACAGTATTTGTGGTCATGAGTCTGGTTGTAGGTAGAAATGAAAGGAGAAATGAGAGTAAAAACATGAAAATCAAAGAGAAGTAGATCTAACAAAGAAGATTCAGAAGTGTGGCCAAATATAAAAGGATAACTAAGTGATGTGTCACCGAATCCATGGGAAGAAAGCATTTCAGAAAAGAAAGAACTATATCAAGCTCAGTGTATTGCTTGACTGAAATGATAACTGGGAATTGGATATTAAATATTGCATTGCCATTCATTGGTGATCCCAATAAGAACAATTGTGTAAGAATGGAAGGTAAGGAAGTGAAGAAATGGATGCAGGGATTTCTTTTGAGGTGATTACAAGGGAAACAGAGTCTGAAAGCTGGAAGGAGATGCATGTCCAAGGGAGTTTTTGGTTTTGTCGTTTTAAAAAAATGAGACTTATTGTAGCATACTCATATACTGATGGTAATGGCCCAATAAATGGAAAATATGATTATGCAAGGAGCAAATGAAAAGTTGGGGTAGGGATGCTTTGCTTTAGGTAAGAGGTGAAGAAGTGATGTGGTTTACAATTAGATGGGCTTACCTTATCTGGAGGTAGGTACAGTTTATCTGTTGTAACTAGAGGAAAAGCAGAGTACTCAAGTATGTAGGCTGCCATACTTGGTTCTACAATGCTGTTTTCTGTTACTTTCTGAATTTTCAGAGTAAGGAAAAAGATCATTTGTTGAAATTTTGAGAAGTGAAGTTAAATGAGTTGGATGAAAGGCTGAAATTTATCTAGAAAATGGAGGACTGACCAGAGTATACTAGTCAGACTAGGGTGAGGCACTGACTGCTTACTTGAGATTTGTGGTCCGAAATTTGCAGTAACGCCAATTGTCATGGCTGTTTTCCCCCAACTGTATCCATCTGCCCAATATAAAAACAGAATAGACAGAGTGTTGATTTAATGAGGCTTGAGGATAGCCAATTTACTGACCATTTCCTTGAACTTAAAGCAACTCACACAGTACTTTCTTTTTCTATTAACACTCCCAATATATGTGCCTTTGACTAAGTTTCTACAAAATAAATATAAGTTTAAATTTAATTCTTACTAGTTCTAAAAAATATAAAAATACATTGTTGTCTTTAAAATAAGTATAGCTTGGGTATCTTTGATCCTTTTTATAACTCTAATATCAGGTAAAACTTGAGAAATGTCACAAGAAAATTATAATATGCAAAGAACCTAGGCAAATTATTTAAATTCTCTCAGCTTCAGGCTCCTCATTTGTACCATTATATTATACCCACCTTTTTATAGAGATGTTATTGGGTTTAAATTAAATATTACATAAGAATGTAAAAAGTATAATGCTATAATTTAAATATAAATCTAAGGGGTTGCCATTGTTACAAATTAATTTCAATCAAGATCAAATGCAATCATGTTATTTTGTATTACTGAGTTTGGGACATCTTGGTACCTCTTTTATAACACATGATTTAAATTTTAGCTTTACAAAGTTGTGAAGAAACAAATCAATTTAATGAAAGCATGTGTGGTTTTCATTCTTAAATGCTGTTTGAGAGAAAAGCCTCAGAACTTAAAAAATCTTTTCAGAAACTACTAAATTTAAAAGGTGGAAGTAAATACTGAGGGACCAAATTACTCAAAAGTGATTGGGATGGTATTAAAATTTATTTTGTAATGATGATGTTAAAGAACAATAGAGAAAAGTGCATACAAGGAAATATGTATGGAAATCATCAGAATGTGGGCAAATGTCAAGCATAATTAATAATAATTTTCTTGCAATTATATGGTTAATATTAAGATAGTCATTACATATTCATGTCCTATGCCCATTATATGAAAGCTAATGATGGTGTCAGGAGTTCAATCATAATTAGCTATGATTACGGTCATTGTCATATGATATGAATCAGGAAAATGATCAAAGTCACAGACTCATTTCTTAACTCATTGCATGACTTTGGTCACAAGGAAATAGTGTAAATGACTAAGTAAATGGATATAATTAAAATTCTATAGATTTCGTGGTCCTTTAATTTTTAAGATCTGTTCCAAATATATGACACTTTCATTATCAGTGTATTTACTTTTATTCAATCTATGGTTATTTAGGTCCTAATTATTTGAATATGAAGTATAGAATATTATATTTATTCAATTTTTAAAAACTCTATTAACCCCAAATTACATATTTTTATATATTATATTTTACTTTAAAGTTATATTATTTTCTAAGCATATCTCTAGAAAACCATGGCACTTCTGATTGCAAATTGCAAATTTGGTGTCTCAGGTCAAAAGTCTAACTGAGGTGAAAAACATTTTTTGGACATGTTTCACCATTACCTTGTGCTCTATGAAATTTCAGGAATAAAAATATATTAGGAACATAAAAATTTGTTAGCAACTTTTTAAAAACAGTTTTATTTCCTTTACTAATAAAAATAAGTATAGTTAAGTCACTTGAATTCAATGTAGATTTTTCAGATGTGAATGCTTATTTATTGCCTGGATGTCCAATCTACATTAGAGTCAAGGTCAACAGATGCACAGCAAGGATTACATAGCAAGGATTATATGTTCTGCACCCTCTCCCTGCCTTTAGTTTTCCCTAGCTTAAATAATTGACATGCTTTTAGAAAGTTATTTCTGTCACCCCCTTCCCAGTTCTCTCTAGAAAGACAGACATTAGATTCCATACAGATGAAAGTTTTGACATGAACTAACAGCATCTTTAACATATTATTAACCATACTACTTAATTTGAAGTCATTTCTTTTGTCAGAAATCCACTATTCTAAAGGCAGAGATAATGCTTTTCATAGAAAGCATCCATCAACAACCTGGTATATATCCAGAGTTCTGATATAGGAATCCATTTAATCAGTTAACCAGGATGACATTTAATCATGTCATCTTGTAGATTTCATTGATAATTTTCATTTTTCAAAGATACGTATTCTATAAGTTCTTTTCCTAAAGATTTTTAAATAGGAAATTTGGACATTTGGGTAAACTTGCTTTAAAAATCTTTCAATCTCAAATTTTTGCAGCCTTATAGCCTTGTGTAGATCTATAAAACACTGATAATCTAATGTCCCTCAATCTGCTTCTGTACAGATTAAAGTTATGTATATATTTTCATGAACCCCTTCAATTTTTGTAAGAGCGTATCAATTCTTACATCACTTAGCTGCCAGTCAAACCCTATGCTTGACTTAGCTTAAATCAGAGTATGTATACCTAGATAATTGTCATGAGGTTCAACCTTGAATTCACAAATGTTTAATACTTATAAAAACATTTTTAAAAGAAATTATACATATGATTATCTCAAGGATTATATAGTTCATCTATTCCTTTATGCAATAAAAGAGTGACATTCAAACTTTCTAACACAACACACAGTAAGAAATATATTTTATGTTGGTCTAATAATACACACACAAAATGTAACAAAACAAGTTTCAGAAAGAAAATTCTACTCTATTTTATTGAAAGACGAGTTGGTTATGACTCGCTAAATTGGTTCTATTACCCATTAATGAGCTATAACCTGCAGTTCAAAAGATACAGATATGTAAGTTTGGTCTGGATTAAAGCGGACCATAAGAGAACTGTTACTTGGACCACCATGTTTGGCTTTATTATAAAATTGACTTGATTGATGCATTCCTATACACTGGAAATCAGGTTCAGGTAAAAAAATCCATGGTGAGCTTGAAAGGCAGGAATTGACTTGAAAGTTTGTTAGCATGCTTTATAACTATTAAATATTTAAACATTTAATATGTGAGTCACCTTAAACGGGAATTAAATGCAAATCTAGAGATATAAATGCAAAAATTCTATTTTGTCCTCATATGCTCCAATTACATAATAAATACTTCATTGATGGTAAAGGAGGAGCCATAATTAATACAGTTTATATTTCTTATAAATATAATTAATTATGTAAAATACTATAATAGGTTATAAAAATAAGCGAAAAATTTTATATAGAAATATGATTCCACAAATTTTAATTATGTATGCAAAAGCTTCCTTTGGGATGGATTTTTTACATAGATTGGACTGGTTTTTGGATTCACAAAATAAATTTGTGTGGCCATGAGAATGCTGCAGGGAACTTAATTGTCTGAGCTCCATCTGTTCCTCTTAAATCCACCATTGTGTTTGCCCCAAGGCTATGCTTCCCAAAGGTTATTCTAAGCCACTGACTGAACATGGCAAGGATTCTAATATGGTCCCATTCCTGGGAGAAAGGAGACTTTTTGGTTAGCCAACTTGGTGTGAAGATATCCCAGTGGCCTTTCTCAATCTTCCTTGAATTTCATGGTAGTCAAGAATGCTGCTACCCTACATCCCCTTCACCTGCCCTTTATTTGGGTCAAATTTGTTCGTGGTCTGATGAACTCTCTGTCAAACACGCTCCCTCCACACTGTCTTTTACACAGGTACTTCGACTAATAAAATTCTTGCATTTTTAATAATATCTTGGTGTCTGCTTTTAGGAGGATCTAAGCTAACAGAGTTTCATAAAGTTTAGGATACAAGTGCCTTTTTTTTTTTTTTTTGCTATTCAATCTTTGTAGATATTTTTCAAGAAATTTAAAAATGCATTTAAAATATGGACATGCCCTGATACTTTTTATTGTCAATTCAACATGCATGAATGCCACCAAAAAGTCCTTTATCGAAAATTCCTGGAATGTGATAAGCTCTATAGACATTACTTCAGTGATCCTTAGTCTCATTTATTCAGAAATAGGAACATTCTTTATCAATAATTTCTTTTAAATTTTCTATACGTTTTTCTTATATTTATTTTTTAACTACTTACAGCTTTCCCCTGAACCAATTGCCCTCAAAGAAAAACATCTGGTGTAATATCAAATATTAAAATGGTTATCTCAAGAAACTAATTCACTGATATTTAGTCATACCTGTTCTTAGACATTTCAAAGACTAACAGTGCCTTTGCCAAGTCAATGTTTGTTCACAATTGTAAGAGCTTGAGGTCTGACCATAAGTTGATATGATCTTATGATATTTTGATACATATACATACACACAAATATGAATCATTTAGCTAGATAGATCCATTCCTATATATCCCTATTTCCTATGGAGAAAATAAAGCATGGAAAAAGGATAAGGAGTCCTAGGAGTAAGTGTTTTTAGTGTTAATTACATTGGTCATTGCCAATAAGAATGTGACATTTTAGCAAAAATCTCAAGAAAGCAGAATTCACATTGTATTTAGGAGAAATGTAGCTAAAAGGAAACTCAATTTAAAAGCCTTGAGACCGAGGCATGCCTGCTGTGCCTAATGCACAACAGGAGGTAAATATGGCTAGATTGGAGTGAGCATAGTTAACACAGGGAAGTAACACAAGTAAGAAAGAACATGAAAGGATTCCTTAACTGTTAATGGTTTTTAGAACAGCACTACTTTCCGTCTGTGTTGGAACAAGTTCTAGTTTGAACAGAAAGGGTGTCCTCTTGGGACTCTTAGCATTTCCACTTACTGTGTTTTAGAAGCCCCATGCTTACCTAGTACTCACATTCAATGTCACTAAGCTCCCATGTGTCATGAATTCACTGGAATTTTATCATATGTTGTATTGCAATGCTATGTGTGAATGAGGTGACAAAAAATGGAAGACATGTATGTTGCATGTACATCCTTGACTCATGTTCATGCTTCATTTTTCCATTGGATTTCACTTACAAAACACAAGTCCAAGATAAAATTTTAAAGAATTTCAGAATAATGACCGCAGAGCTTTCAATTAACAGGAAACCCTTCGGAGTATGGGGCCCTGTGTGACTGTATGGGGTGTACACTCGTGAAGCTAACCCTGATCACAAAGAAGGGTTCAGTACAGAAGTATCGCATCATAGGGTTGGAAAGGTTTTACACTGGATAAACCTAGAGTAAGTGTGAATACCATCCTCTCAACACGGGCAGCTGAAGCCTGGAAAGAAGTGAAGAGATTAGTTAGGAAGCAGTTACAATAATGTAGGAGACAGTGATTGGGCTGGCGTAGTGAGAGTGATTATGTTAAAAAAAATCAGATTCTAATTACATTTTGAAGGTAAGGCCAGTGAAATTTGCCAACATATTTGGTGTGGAGTGTAAGAAAGAGAGGAGGGTCAAGGGTGAGAACAATGGCAATGTTTTGGGCTTTAGCAATTTAAAAATAGAACTGACATATTTGGAGACTGGGAAAACTGTAGGAGCAACTAACTGTATATGGAATCATCAAGAGTTCAGTTTTGGACATCTCATTTTGAAATGTTTATTAGTCAAAGTGGAGATTTGAATAGGTATTTGAATATATGAGTCTGAGGTTCAGAGATGAAGTCTCAGCTAAAAATATTAGTGAAAGGGTCATCAGCCTATATAGTCATGTGCTGCAGAACATCTTTTTGGTCAACAGGGGACCATATATGATGGTGGCTCCATAAGATTATTATCCCACACTTTTACTATACCTTTTCTATGTTTAGATACACAAATATGTAGCATTGTGTTACAATTGCCAACAGTATTCAGTACAGTAACATGCTGTACAAGTTTGTAGCCTAGGAGCAATGGGCCATATCATATAGCCTGACTCCATCATCTAAGCTGTTTTGAATACACTCTATAATGTTTGCATGGTGACAAAATCGCCCAATGATGCATTTCTCAGAATGCCTCCCATAGTTAAGCAATGCATAACTGTACACAGTACTTAGAGCCATGAAAACATCTGAAATACCAAGGGATTTTTTCTATGGGGTTCCTATAAGAATAAATAAAATCAAGTGTGTAAAGCATTAACCTACGTGTGTTGTTTATAGCAGAAACTCAACAATTGTTCGTTTGTAAATACACTATGGCTGCAAGTATGCCAAGGGCTTTATTTGTAGTATTTCTCCTATTCCTAACATCATTATATGTAATTTTTAAAAATTGTACTACATAATAGACAAACAAAAACTCATGTAAAAATATTTAGCAAATGTTTGTAGATCCCAGCAACTGAAGGTTAGAAAAGCTAAGTATTAATAACATGCCTGGAATTTGACACAAAGTAAGGGGTAAAAGCAGGCTAAGAAAATATAAATACAAATTCGTGGTAGGAGATAAAGCCTACTATTAGTGAGATAATAATTAATCACATATTCTTCATTTAAATATGTATATTAAAGCAAATTGAATAAATTTTGGGAACTTCTTCAATGTAATTTAAATTAACTTACTTGAATTGAGACTTTGATTTGCTTTGTTTTAAAATTACAGGGAACCTGTGGCTTTGAGGCAGAAATCAACAGATATATGGAACTTGCAAAATACTTCTATAAGGTTTTAAAGAAAAAAGATAACTTTAAACTTGTATTTGATGCAGAGGTAAGGACTCAAGGTGTTTTTTTTTTTATTTTAGTGAGATAATGTAATAGATCTGTATTTTCATTCCTGAGTATTTTTACCTGAATCTCTCTCTTATCGCATACATTGAGAGAATGTAAGTATATTCAACAATTACCACAATTATTTTATTTTACCTAAGTTCAAATCAGTTAAATTTTTAAACCCTTTTCATTTAAGTTCTATGTCCTATAGGTAAACAGTCCAAAAGGACTTAAGTTGATGATTATATTCAATTTTTAAGTTTTTAAAGCAATAAAACTATTTGCTTTTAACTGCTTTTATGACTTCTCTGGCACTGAATTAAGAATAATTTGATTGTTCTTAGCTTTTTTATTGTATGTTAGAATATGAAGTTAGGTTTCTGGACAGTAGATAATATAAGAGAAGGTAAGTTTTAAATTATATGATAATCTTTGGTAAATCATTATTAAGGCACTATGTAGATATTAGTGAAAATTTGGAAATTTTTGCTAGCATTACACCATATGTCCATCTTTCTCCCCAGGGCCCAGTCAACCTTCCACTGACATGCATTAAGTCATACTAGTAAGAGTAACTGTTAAAAAACAAAGGTCCTTTTTTTAATCTTCTAAATTGTCTCTCTCTGACTATATTATTATTTTAATTATTGTGTCTCCCTCAGTTTTAAGTATAAACTAGAAGTAGTTTGTTTTTGTTTTTAATCCATCATCTGTTTATTTTCCTCTGTGAATTAAACTTTGATAATTGATTTAAGTTCTATTCTTTCCTTCATCTATGGGAAAGGCATTATTCAGTCACCAAACCCAGAAACCTTGGATTCATCTCGAAAGCCTATGATTGGTCATCCTGCTGACCAATTCTCTCTCTTGAAGATTTTGGAAATGCAAACACTGATCTATGTTACAGCTGTTGCTTTAGTGAAGTCCCCTTCATTCTCTCCTGTGTGACTATGACATTTTATGTACTAATATTCTCCTCTCTTCAGTCTTCTCTCTAATCATTTGTCCACACTTCAATTTCAGTGATCTTTCTCAATATAAAACTGGCACTATTATTATATGTTTAAAATCCTTGAAGTCGTAGTCATGGGATGGATGAATGGAGACATTTGAAGGAATTGATATGCCAAGTATTGGGAAGATGATCTACATATATATGAAAATCATCAGGAATTATGATAGGAGAGGTTGTCAGAGAAGCAACAGAGCCCATGCCAGACTGGGCACTCTCTGAGGACAGTGGCTATTACTTTCATCTCTGTATCCAGTGCCTGACATGTATCATGCCCTCAAAAAAACTTTTTTTAAGTACATAAAAATTAAGTTAAATAAATTAAAATACTCTGAAATAATTAAGTCACTAAAAATTAGTTAGGGCTTTAAGGATACTTCTAAAATGTTTATCTTTGATTTAGCCTGAGTTCACCAATGTCTGCTTCTGGTATTTCCCACCAAGACTTAACCTCATCCCAGAAGGTTTTGAAAGAGATCAAGAACTACAAAAGGTAAGTGTTGTTTGCTTTTTCAATAATTTTTTTTGTATGTGGCATTCTTAATTTTAACTTTAATATTGCCTTTAAATGATGTGTCTGATTAGTTTGGTTAGTGTATGGTGGTCAAGTGGTCCCAAGTTCCTGGTCTAAAAATTGTGCAGGAATGTATAAAATCTCAACCCATCAGTCATTTTTCAAATTAATTCAGTCATCAGTTATAAATTTAAAAAGTATTTGAGTGCCTAATGTGCAAGCAGCTGTGTTTCCTATCCTTTTGTTAATTCATTCGTTAGTTGATATTTCCAGGTGTTCCAATAGGAGTTGAGGGTGTAAAAGGAATAAGACAGAATCCCTGTCTTATGTTGGCTAGAAGGCCTAGTGGGAGAGAATCAAGACTATAAATAACTACAGTTCTAAAAAGCAGTGGAAGAGGTACTTAGAGAAATGTGAAATGTTACCAAATTTGAAATACTTATCATAGGTCATCAATGCAAGAATATGAGAGATATTTTATTATAGATACACTAATAATACCGAAAAAATTCAAATGAATATCATAATAATAGGGATATCTTGTCTTTACCTTAATAATTAAAAGGGACATCACCACCATTATATGCTATTTATCCTTATATTTATTGTTAATTTTTACCTAACCTTAAGCATGCATCAAAATATTTATTTCGTAATATCACCACCACTTTTGGAAATATAATGATATTACAACCACTTATTTTAGGTAATTTGAGGTGCCCTAGGATAAGTTGAACATAAATTTCCTGATAGTAGTGTTTAAGACTGCCACATTAGAAAATAAAAATTTTTCCTTGGGGCCACAGTGTTTTATTACGAACAGAATAAAAACTTCAAAAAGAAAATGATCCTTTCTAATTTAATGAAAAATGTGTTACTTTTTATTGTTTTCTGTGTGTGAGTTATATGCAACTTGAAAAATAGTTCGTGTGGCTCCCAAGGTGAAGAGATGTGTGAGTTACATATGCTTCATGAGGCCGTGGGCTCAAAACTAACATGGGTTAAATACAATTCATATGGCAGTTAATGTGTTAAGGGCATCAACTTTTTATATCATCAGTAAATTTCACTGAGCTTGTAAGTTGTAAGAGAAAATAGAGGTTTTTTTTTTTTTCATTTTCCTTTTTAGAATATTCTTTATGTAAATAGTTTATCGTTTGAGGCAAATATCAAGTGAAGCTCTCAATTTTTTTCTAAACATATAAGTGTCTTCTTCCACTAGGGTAATTACCACCAGCTGAGAATTAGTGAGAGTCATCTTTATACTGACTTAGCATGCTGGCTCCTAGAGGTACACACAAACTACTTAACTGAGAAATGTTCCTTTTAGGGTTCTGTATGTATTCCTGGATCAAAAGCAAGGGAAGACTATAAAACAATTTTTTTTTTTATTTCGGCATATTATGGGGGTACAGATTTTAAGGTTTCAATAAATGCCCATTTCCCCCCCTCCCCCCAAAAGTCTGAGTCTCCATCATGACCATCCCCCAGATGGTGCACATCTCACTCATTATGTATGTATATACCCGCCCCCTCCCCCCTCCCACCTGCCCAATACCCTATTACTGTAGTACCTATGTGTCCACTTAGGTGCTACTCAGTTAATGCCAGTTTGCTGGAGAATATATCTGGTGCTTGTTTTTCCATTCTTGGGATACTTCACTTAGTAGTATGGGTTCCAGCTCTAACCAGGAAAATATAAGATGTGCTATATCACCATTGTATAAAACAATTTTTAATGATATTGTAGACAATAACTGATATCTAGTATACCATGGTCATGATGATTAATTATATTATTAAATAGGGAAGGATATCAAATAAGAAATTTCTTGGGTATTGAAAGATAGAAGAAAATTACATATATACATTCCTGCACTGCCAGACTTGTGGGAAAGTTAAATAATGCATGCCATTTGTAGCATTTTACAGGTAAATTGTGTGGGAATAGATTGAGAAAAGGTGCATGTTGAGTAGTTATAAAATGCCTCTTTGTGGTTCTCAAGTATTAATGCTATTTTGCCCTATAAAAATAGCCTAAAGATGTACTAATGCAATCCAAAGCCACCTGCACAGTGTCATTTTAGGAGCTGAACAAGATAATTAGAGCTTGTCTCTGTGAAATTTACAAAGAAACCGTATTTTGCGGCAAAACTGTGATTTTGTAGAAAAACTCAAGATGTATAATGATGATTCAAATAATGCAAGTCATCATACTAAAACATACCACTATTTTTGTATTCCTTGTTTCATTTTACCTCTTTCCCAGGCACTTCTATTTGAATTGCCCTGTAAATTTAAGAAAATGCCACGTTTTTCTTTAATGCATTCTAGCACACTTGTATTATTTCATGTTTGGTAATTATAAATCATGGAGTAATAAGAGCTGTGATTTGAATGCAAAACATGCTGCTTTTTTTTTTTTTTGTAGTAAGCCCCTTCTTAAAAATTACCCAACAATTTTAAATTGACTACAATTTACTTGAAGCTAACGATAGTTATGTAGCCATCTGGAATATGGAAGTATTTCTACTTGTAAAATTTCTTTTTAATAACAATTGCATTTTCACACAGATTGCTCCGAAGATTAAGGCACAGATGATAGCAAAAGGCACGGCTATGATAAGCTACCAGCCATGTGGAGACAAAGTAAATTTTTTTCGAATGGTCTTTTCTAATCCTGCCACAAGACAAACAGATGTTGACTATCTGATTGATGAAATTGAAAGGATTGGGAAGGATTTATGATACTTCAGTGAGAACTTGCATATTACCTGTAAACATAAAGATAAACTTAAAAATCTCCTGCTAAAGATAAAAAATGGAATGGTAAAAGTGATATATTTAAAAAAAAAACAAACTTTTAATTCTTGTTCTAAGCTTTGTAAGATGATGAAAGAGGATCCAGTTCATTGATAAAAACATATACATACACACCCAAGTCTATTCTTGTATTTGTTGTTTTCCTTACTTTAATAAAAAGTATTGAGCACCTGTTAAATGTCAGGTACTTTTATTGGGAAACATTAGTAAATAAGAAAGACAAGAATCCCTCCTCTTGTAAAGAGAGGAGAAATCCCATTGTGAACATTCAGTATCTTCACATACATATGTGTGTTTGAATTAGTTGAAAAAAGACCTCATGGATTGAAATCATTTTCATTATCCTATGGTAGTATTTCTGCCCAAAATAAAATAATACATAAGATGTTCCTCTTTTTAAAACAAACAGGATGTATAAAGTGTTCTGTATTTTGGAGCAGAGAGTGGGGAAAGAAATGACAGAGGCTTACATATTTGCTTTTTGGTCTTTGCATTTTTATTTAGAAGTCACTACAGCTTGTACCAACTTCTGATTTAACTTTTTTTTTCTTCAACACCATTTTAATGTTCCTAAAGATTAATGGCCATGACATCCTTTTATAATTCTCAAAAAATAAAGTAGGCACAGTGGAACGCACGCTTATAGTCCCAACTATTCAGGAGGTGGAGGCAGGAGGATTCCTTGAGTCCAGGAGTTTGAGACTAGCCTGGGAAATATAGCAAGACTCTGTCTCAAAATAAATAAAGAAATAAACAGATAAACAAATATAAATAAACATAATTATCCAAAAATACATTAGCCATATTTTACAAAATGGAGTCCTGTAACTTTATAATTCTATACTAATATAGTTAGCGTTTTTCATTTCCAGCTTTTGAGATAATAATGACTAATATTAACTAAACATTTACTGTATATCAGATGGTTTGCTAAGCTGCTTAACTTACACGGCCTCATTTAATTTTCTATTGATATTATGATTTAAATAACTTATTATCTCTACTTCATGAATGAGAAGACTAAGGCTTAAACAGTTTAAATAATGTTTCTAACATCACACTGCTGATAAGTAATAAAATAAAAATCTGAAGCTGGCCAGGTTTCTTCTCCAAGAATCTGCCAAATGCCTTGCTGCAATTCAAGTATACCACCTACCTTTTAACTGTTTGTCAAATCATTTGACTTAAGTAGGTCTCTTTCCTCTGCTCTTAAAGTGGGAATAATAATGGTGCTTATCTCACAGGGCTGTTGTGAGGATAAAATGAAATAATTAGGTTAAATATTTTGTAAAATTTGAATCACTTTGCCTGTGTTAGTTTTTCATATTTAAATGTGTACTATATTGAATAGAGCCAGAGACTTTAAAATATGTATATATGTGTATATATAGGAGTGTGCATATATGTGTATATATAAATATATATATATGCATATATATATATACACACACATACACACTAAGTTACAGTGCACTTCTGTACCATCAGTTTCATCTTTATTAATCATTCAGGAGACAACTAAATATTGTCATGGTTCCTCATTACAGAGGACATTGTGCCCTTCTGTTTTCTAAGCTACATTGCATTCATTCACATTAAATTTGTTAGAACTTCTATAATTAAGAAATAAAAACATGAATTGGAATAGAGTTTCTTTTCAGTTATTCTTTTACCAAATAAATAAGACATTTTAAAGTCTTTCTCAAAGGAAACATAAAATAGATTATGCTATAGACTTTGATAGCCTATGTCTCTATGAAATATAGGGTATAACAATTTAATTATCTAAGTACAATGTATCCCTTGATAAGAATTACTACTCTAGACAGGAGGGTTTGTTCCAAATGTGTTCTGGTTTATCTGAAACATAAATCAGTTTCTTTCATATGCATTTTGCCTGATTGCCTATCATTGCATAAAGGTTATCAAACACAGTAAACATTTCCTTATCAAAAAGTACATCTCCAGCTTATTTGTACCTATATTTTCAATTTTAGATACTGGTTTTATTCCGTAATAAGCACTTTCAAGTAAGAATGTACTAAATCATAAGACTATTTAATATAATGTTCATATGCTGTTTATATAAACTAGTTAAAACTGTGCTTTCTTCCAATATCAATGCTATGAATTAAGCAAGTGTATTTTATACAGTTTCTAGAAATCTATAATCCAATTTATTCAGTAGTGTCTTATAATAATAGTGAATCTAATAAAAATTGTTCTTTATATTATTTTGAGATATGCAGAATTTTCAATTATTTTGATATCTATTTTACATGTGGCTGAAATTTTGTGACATTTAAATTAGAGATAAGACTTATTAACAGATGTTACCCCTCCCCACTTGATCATACATAATTTTTAAAAAATTTCATGGCCAGTCAAAATTATTAGTTACAGAACATTTAAATATTGTTCCAATATTTATGTTCTCTCGACCAAAGATCTGTTACTAACCTCGTATTACATAAAATAATGTTAAGTTTACATTTCACATTTTATAGAAATTTTTTAAAAAAGTTTCTTTCTTGCTGCTTAGTTTAACATAAAATTCAGAAAAGAATACTACTAAGTTTGTTTTTCTTTTGAAATTTTTCCAAACATATTACAACATATTTTTAACACAATGAGTAACATTTATTTAACCAACAGAGATGACTTCGAGAGAGACTGTATTTCCAAAACACACGGTAGAAATGGATAGACCATAGAAAGAAAATATTTTTTTAAAAATTATTTTCACTTAAAAGTGTTACTATCATGCTGAAAAAATAAAGGAAAACATGTAGCAACCAACATCCAAATGAAATTCTAGGGTTGTGAAAGATTTATATTCTTACCAGGCAGATGATGTAGAGGAATAATAATTGAACTTATGTGGAAATTTGAAAATGTTTTAAATAGCTGTTTGATACTGCTTAAGTAGAGTATAAGGTGTGGAGTTCTGCTACAAGTGGCTAGAGAATTATAGGGCCTTAAATTTAGCATTTTGACAATGTTTAATCATTAAAGTGAGTTAAACAGGGGGTAATATAATGAGACATATATTTTAGAGGGGGAAGAAAATGACAGTGATTTTGATGACAGCTTCAAGGATAGACTAGAGGAGAAGGAGGAACAAGGCTTGAGTGCAGAAGTCAGATTTTAGACTGTTGTATCAAGAAAGGAACAGTTATTTGATAAGGGACTGTCATTTCCAGGCAATAAGGAGTCAAGAGCTATTTAGGAAGAAAAATTGCCAAACACACTGGGAAGATAAAGAAAAGTTTAGTCTGAAGTCTCCAGCTTAAGAGACTGCTTAGATCTTAGTACCATTGACAGGGAGAGCCCTGTTAGCACCATGTAGCTGGTCTATTTAGCTCACATATGGAAAACAAACTGGAACCTATGGATTTATAGGGCATGGCTCCATAGGAAATATCACATAAGCTATGTAACTATTTGAGTTTAAGGTACAGCAATTCGCTGACTGAAGAAGCTCCCTTTTATGTAATTAATGTAGCATCATACATTACTTAGAGACTTCATATGTTAATCTAGGTCATAGAGCACTTTGAACCAGCAAGAAAGGACCTTGGGAGCCGTCTGATGGTCCCATATCTCTCCATGCTTCGTCCATGCTTCACAATTGCCTGCATCCTTGGAATTCTGAGTTTTTGATCTGTTTTTTATCTCAGCTTGGTTGGTGCCATAACTCCCTTTGATTGAAGAGCCTGTTTATTTTTCCCCTCAAATGTCTTGCTTTTACATCAGTCCTCCATATAGGACACAGCTTTTAATATTCATTCCACCCAACCAGCTTCCTACTCCTCTCATGGGCTGTGTGTCCAGATCTTATCTCTGAGCCCAGGAATTAGGACTACACGACCAGCCTGGCCAGGTCTGTGTCTCGTTTGCAACTTTCACTGTTTGCTCTAATTTGAAAGGTCTTCAAGTCTTCCTGTCAAAAATGTATCTTATCCTATGATATTCAACCCAAAGCACCTTCTTTCTGATGTTTTTCTCTTACTCTAAACCCTCAGTGTGGAATGTGGCTACAAATTCAATAAATATTTTACAATAATAATTAGAATGTATTCCTATAATCTCATGTGAGTTTCCCCATCGCTTAGCCTCCATTTATAGTCTTTTCACAAATACAATAATCAGTGGACGTAAAATCTTTCTGATCTTCATAACTCATAGTTTAAATTAATTCTCTTTGCCCAGAGTGCACATATCAGGGGATAACTGACATAATTAAAAGTGCAATAACCTCAATCAACACCATTAACTTTAGCACATGCACTCTATTTATGGATAACTTAGAAAATCAACATTTCTCAGCTGCTCTCAAATCCTATGGCTTGATCATGGTATAATTACAGTGACTGCATTCAATAACTGTGTTGTAAATTAAAATTTCATTTGAAAAGATGATTTACTATGATAGTTCAACAGCACTGGCTTTGACTCTGATAATGGAAAAGTTAAATGCTTCCAGGAAATAAGGTGCCAAAAATGTGAAAATGCCAATTGTGTAAGGATATTTTATAGCTTTATTAACTGTGGCCTCTACTTTTCTCTTGTTTTCCAAAGTGAAGTACGTTTCTGTGATTTTTTTTCCCTCTTATGTAAGAGAAATTAAAGACTTAAATAAATAGAAATAACTCCATGTTTGTGATCAGGAGACTCAATATTGTTAAAATGTTAGTACTCCCCGAATTGATCTACAGATACAAGATAATCTCTATTAAGATCCCAACTGTCTTTTTGTTTTTGCAAAAATTGACAAGCTTATCCTAAAATTCATATGAAAAAGCAAGGGATCCAAAATAGCCAAAACAGTCTTGAAAAAGAACAAAGTTGGAGGACTCACACTTTCTGATTTCAAAACTTATCACAAAGCTACAGCAATCAAGATATTATGGGATTGGCATAAGAATAGGAACAAAAATCAAAGGAATAGAACTGAGAGTCCAGAAATAAATCCTTATATTTATGGTCATTTGATATCTGACGAGAGTGAAAAGACAATTCAATAGAGAAAAATAGTCTTTTCAATTAATGATGATGAGACAACTGGATATCCACATGCAAATGAGAAGTTAGAC